TTGTGGTGTCCTGGGGTCATGTGATCCCCTTTTGTGACTTTCTGACAAGCAAAGTCAATGGGGAAGCCAGATTCACTTACTAACTTCACAACTGCAGTGATTCTCTTAACAACGGTGGCAAGAAAGGTCGTAAAATGGGGCAAAGTTCGCTTAACAACTGTCTTGCTTAGCAATGGAAATTTTGGGCTCAATTAGGGTCGTAAATCAAGGACTGCCTGTGTTTGAAACATTCGAGACCCCCGTTAAGAGTTCAGCCTCTTCCTCACCCCCCATCGGCAAGAAAAAAGAAAACCAATTGCTATTCCTGTGTGTAGACACAAGTGTTCCCCATTACCTTTGGGTATCGTTGCGCACAAATCCTGGAGGGCACTCTTGTACACACTCGTCCTCATGGATCACAAAGCTCTCATATTCCCCAAGTAGATCCGAGGAAGGGATCCGGGAACAGTTCTCCTTGGTGATGCAACGCCAGCCCTCAAACTTGTAGGTGTTGGGTGGGCAGGTAGGAACACAGGTGCCATCGTGGTGGTAGTTGCGACAAGCCACACAGGCCGAGCTGTTGTTGGGGGCGGTGCAGCTGCCCAAGCATTCGGGATGACAGCATTCATTCTGGTCCGTACAAGCATATTTGCCACAGGAACTGGGACAGGCTGGAAAGAGAGAGAACAGAGCAGCAGGCATGAAAAGACCACCTTAAATTGGAAGGGAAGAAAGACCAAGAGTTGACATGACTAGCAATAGCTTTACAGCCCTCTCTAAGCGGTTTACAGAGTCAGCATCTTGCCCCCAACAACCCAGGTCCTCATTTTACTGATCTTGGAAGAATGGAAAGCTGAATCAACTTTGAGCCTGTCAGGATCGAACTCCTGGCAACGAGCGTAAGTTAGCCTGCAACGCTGCATTCTAACCACTGGACCACCAGGGCTCTTAAAGTTGGCTAAAGTTCATCAGTTTCCATTTGGCTTCTCCTGCCATCAAGGTTTCCCAAAAGCTCGACTTTTAACAAGGTGTAAATGCATAAGGAACCTAGCCGTAAGTTGATTCCAGTCCCAAGCCCAGATAAATGGGGAGGGTTATGGAAAACAATGGCGAACTACACTATGAAAATCTCACTAGAACATTTATGGCAATAACTCAACATCTACACTAAGAATGACTGATCGAAGAAGAATTGATGCCTTTGAACTGTGGCGCTGGATTATTGAGTATACAATGGACAGCTAGGGTAACTAACAGAAAGGTGTTTAAATCGTATAAAACCAGAAACTTCACTAGAAGCTAAAGTCATAAGACTACGTGTGATTTACTTTGGCTATGTTATGTGTGCCAATTCATTGGAGAAGGCAATGATAACTAGGAATGGTTAGTGGAATAAGAAGGAGCAAGCAAAGAGGAATAATTGCAGGAATTGGGTATGTCCAGATGACTTAGATGTCCTCCAAGGTCCCTTCCAACTTATATTATTATTATTACTATTACTATTACTATTACTATTACTATTACTATTACTATTATTATTATTATTATTATTATTATTATTATTATTATTATTGTCGTCATCATCATCGTTATACAAAAAGTTGGAAGGGACCTTGGAGATCATCTAGTCCAACCCCCTGCTCAGGCAGGAGACCATATACAATTCCAGACAAGTGGAATGGAGCACCCACAACTTCTGAAGGCAAGCCGTTCCACTGGTTAATTGTCCTCACTGTCAGGAAGTTTCTCCTTAATTCCAGGTTGCTTCTCTCCTTGATTAGTTTCCATCTATTGTTTCTTGTCCTGCCCTCTGGTGCTTTGGAGAATAACTTGACCCCGTCCTCTTTCTAAAGGAGGGTTTCCAGAATTATCTGGAGCAAGTGGCCAGAATAGTGAGCTGCTATTAGCTCCGCATCACAAGAACTCTTTGCTCAGACGCCAGACTTGTTAGCCTCCAGCAAGTTGTGCCTCATTCGATGCCTGTAAATATTAGAAGTCTCCAAGGCTATTAAGAGATTTCTTCAGTAACTCCACAGACAGTAAGCCTTGCAAGCAGATGGATGGCTGTTCCCCTGCCGGTGCCAAAACGTAAGATTTAGCATGATAATGAGATTTCCCATTTACACAACGATATCAAATAAAGCCATGCCTCTGAAGGGCTCTGCTCGCGATATCTAGGGAATATTACAGGTTGCCACGTGCATTTTATTAAATAAAGAATAAAAAATGGACAGGGCTTCTGAACGATGGATCGCTCCCAAATTCATCCGTAGCCAACTGGCAAGAGAGCACTCCAACCGGAAAAGGCACAGCTGCAGAGCTACGTTTAAATGGGAATTGGTTGTTTTCTGGAAGTCCACAAAACTGCGTAAAATTCATAAATAAATGTTTCCAGCACAAAACTACCTTTCCTAAGTCCAAAACAGGGATGACAAATTTTCAATTAGGCTTCAAATCTTACCAGAAATGTTCTGACGCTGACACATCCATTCCCAAAAAGCTTCCGTGCATTGTGAATCCTAATGATCATTAGAATATTTTAGTAAGATTGAAACGACCTAATCTAATCTAATTGGAAATTGATCAAGGAGAGAAGCAGTCTAGAAAGAAAGAAAAAATTCCTTAACAGTGAGGCCAATTAACCAGTGGTCCCTTCCAGCTTGATTATTCTGTTATTCTGTTAATGGTCACTAAACAAATGGTTGTAAGTCGAAGATATTCTTCCCCTGCCCCCACCCCATTTAAATGCTCATCATTTGGCACATATTTATTCAAGTCCAGCATTGCTAAAACTTTTCCTCAATACGGAAAATCCCATCAGGAGAATGAGCCAAACAATCTTGGCAAAATGTTGTTTCCAAATGTTGCCTTTTCTGATTTATTTAAATAAATAGTGGTCCATTTGGTTTTAGCTCCTCTGCATCACGTTGAATTCAAATTAGGAATTCAGGAATAGGTAGATAAAACGTAGCTAGGATAAGTTGTGTTACTTTCATATGTTTATGTATTACAACAAACCCTCAAATTAACCAATTACGGTTTAGCTCAAATTAGAGGCGGCAGACAAATTTGTTTTTATACACCATCTGCTTCCTTCACAAGCATAAACTCCCATTCACCATTTTTGCAAGCATGAAATAAATAAAAAGAGAAAATAATTAAAATATTTGTGCATGAAATTTCATTTGGATTTAACAGATCTTCTGCTGTAAGGGATCCTCCTTCCCTCCATTAGTCCATTAAATTGAGGGGTTTTAGCAAATATATTTCAATTCCAGAGCCTGTTTACACTTGTAACTAAACTAACACAAAATAGATAAATAAATCATTTCCACTCAAGTCCAAAATAAAAACAACAGAGCATGTGACTACTGAGGTTTCTGCAAATAAATGCCTCATATAAAGTTTTTAAAAAATCATATTCTAGCGCATCATAATCTGGCATACATACGTTGTTTAGCACAAGCCATTTCTAAAAATAACACTTCCATCAAAATTTCAGAGGGGGGGGAAGCATGTTTTTTGTTTGCCTATAACCTAAGATCCCAAAAGTTTTTTTAGGAAGGAAGGGAAAGGATCAAATGAGGACTGCAAAGAAGGGGTAGATCCACAAAAGATGCTAACAACCGACTTTTTATCATTTCTTTTTTCAGCAAAACCCACTCCTGTTTTTTTTTTAAAAAAA